ATGTAGGAAGAAAAAATTAAACTTGAATTTTCACTAAACCGTTAAGATCAGACTAATACTAAAAGTTTGGATAATATAAATAAAATTTTAAATTTAAAACTTGTTGTCATAATCTTTCCTACAAATTTTAAAAAGAAACCTTGAATTTCCACTTATTGCTTTTGTTAGATGTACATATGTTGCACAGATGATGCACATTTGTGAAACATAATCATAGTTGTGGCCTGTGGGTATAAGGAATCGAGCCATTGGGTGTTGGATATATGAGTTTTTTTTTTAAAAATTCTTTATACTTATTTAATATTATGTATTTGATTATTGTTGAAATATTTTATGATAATGTACGAAATATTTTTCATTCTTATTCAATGCTAAAATTTAAAAGATTGTTTTTATTTATGTAAAATGAGTACATTTTAATTTTTAGTTATGTAAATATATATATTTTTTTATTTTCATCTTTCAAAAATAATTATTTTTAATTTAATATTTAGTTTAAATCTAGATAAATAACATTAATATTAAATATCTATTTATTTTATAGTGTTACATGATTTTTTTTGGTAAAGAATGAAACATAAAACACTAGAAAGCTTTTTGCTTGACAAGGCCTACAACAAATATATCACCTAGTGTTGTTTTCTACATCTTAACAAAGGCTTGAGCCGAATTTGAAATAACATGACAATTCCAAATTCACATAATCTAGAATAATCATTGATGGGCTATAGTTTTTTTAATTAGTTTTGAAGTTAAATAGTTGCTTAAAACCATTTTGTTAATTTTTTTAAATAGCTACATCTTAACGAAGGCTTGAGCCGAATTTGAAATAACATGACAATTCCAAATGCACATAATTTAGAAGAATCATTGATGGGCTATAGTATTTTTAATTAGTTTTGAAGTTAAATAGTTGTTTAAACCCATTTTGTTAATTATTAATGTAATTTTTGAATTTTTTTTATTCAAATAATTCAAATGTCTTTTTATATTATTTAGGTCAACTTTTAATGCTTTCAGGCTTCCTATGTCACAATGATATATAGTTAGCAAGATAGTGGGGAGTCAATTCTAGTAGAAATAAAGTGTTTGTGGAAATTAGTGAGAATTTATTTATAAGTGGAGTATTGATGAGAATTTGTCTCATTGCCTATCTAAGCTTATAAATAGAAACATTTTGCAAAGATTTCAGTAGAGAATGATTTAATCAAAATTTGGATATTGTTCCAATTGAGAGAATTTATCTCTCACTATGTTATTAGAAACTACTTTTGATTCTTATTCTTAAATTTTATAATTCAAAGTGACGGATGCTCCTCAACTTATCAATCTTTAAGGATTGTGGCATTATTCTCCCATCTTTTACTTCAACCCACATTTTTCCTTTTTAATTTATTTATTTTCTTATAAAATTGTCTTAAGAATATATGTTTTGAGATGTTAAAATTTTTATCCTATGAGATTCTTAATACCTATATAGGTTTACAAACGAGTCTCTCAAAGCTCAAAACAAATTAATATTATTTTACAGACAAGCCTCTTCAGCCTCAATCTTATACCAATGGTTATGAAAGTTACATAAATATTGTGTTTGACTCACTTAGACGTTATACAACCAATTTAAAATAATGAGTGTTTATAAAAAAAAGAATAGTTTTACAAAAAATATGTTTGCTAACAAATATATCTATTTATATATTTTTCTTCTTCTTGTGCTTTAAATCTTTTTATATAGTAGATCATAAAATATGATTGTTACAATACTTTAAGTCCAACTCACAAGTTTACTTCGTTTATCTTCATTGTCTTTCCTTAAGATGATAGGTGACAGTTTGACTCATTTAATGTGAGTATCAAATGCATTTCACCAAATGATACCTCTTATTTGATAAATGAAACTACTTATCGACTTTCCATATCAAACGAAACTTACAAAAGCAATGTTAGTGCAGAAGAATTGCAATAGTGACTTTATTCGTTTTTCTCCATTATTTTAGAGATTTTGATTATGTTGGAAAGTATGATTTTATTCTTTAACACACTTGTAAGTTTCAAGACTACTTTTTGATTTGATTTATTAAAAAATGAAGCATTCAATAGAAACTTGTTGTTAATTTAAATGAATGACAAACATTAAATGTATTTTAGGCATACTTTGTGTTTCGTTTGATTTATAATGTCTCATAGACAATTTGTATTTTACACTTCATCTGATGAGTTTTTCAGAAATATTTTTCAAAGATATTTTTGCAGACCTTTTTTTCTTTATAAAAATATTTTGTTTGTCGACATTAAAATTCTACATTCAAGCATTCTAGACCATGTTTTTTACTTAACAATAACCAATCCATATTTACAATTAGATTAGTTTGAATTCATTAAATCATTAGATTATATCACATTCATGTTCACTCTTACACAAAATTGTAAGACCAAAAAAGAATTTTAACTAACTTTTTTTTAAATAAATTTTAAAATAAATTGTTATTTGTCAAAAAAAAAAACATTATCTTGTTGGATATAGTCATTTATGGATTGATCAAAAGTTGTTTAGCTTAAATCGTTTGACACCAAATCTCGAAATTCGAACTTTGTCATGAGCATGAAGTTAATTAAATATACCACTTTATCTTTTGTAGGAATCATCTTGAAGGGGAGGATTTATACCTTTTTATAAAAAAAGTGTTTTCATTTAAGTTAATAAACTAATGTCTTGTGTATGATTACTTATGTAGCGTGATGGTTATGTAGGAAGAAAAAATTAAACTTGAATTTTCACTAAACCGTTAAGATCAGACTAATACTAAAAGTTTGGATAATATAAATAAAATTTTAAATTTAAAACTTGTTGTCATAATCTTTCCTACAAATTTTAAAAAGAAACCTTGAATTTCCACTTATTGCTTTTGTTAGATGTACATATGTTGCACAGATGATGCACATTTGTGAAACATAATCATAGTTGTGGCCTGTGGGTATAAGGAATCGAGCCATTGGGTGTTGGATATATGAGTTTTTTTTTTAAAAATTCTTTATACTTATTTAATATTATGTATTTGATTATTGTTGAAATATTTTATGATAATGTACGAAATATTTTTCATTCTTATTCAATGCTAAAATTTAAAAGATTGTTTTTATTTATGTAAAATGAGTACATTTTAATTTTTAGTTATGTAAATATATATATTTTTTTATTTTCATCTTTCAAAAATAATTATTTTTAATTTAATATTTAGTTTAAATCTAGATAAATAACATTAATATTAAATATCTATTTATTTTATAGTGTTACATGATTTTTTTTGGTAAAGAATGAAACATAAAACACTAGAAAGCTCAAGACACCGAGTCTCTTCCTAACTGTAACAGGATGAAATCAGGAGGACTCCTCCAGAATACAATGGAACTCGTGTTCCGCACCCCCCAATTGGCAAGCGTATGGGCTACTGAATTTATGTCACGAGGGATATGGCTAATGTAAACTACCCAGTCCCAGGCTAGCATGCACTGAATCCGGCGAATAACATCATAATGATTGTGCAAGTGGTCCCTTTCCGTTGACCTAGCTTGAAACAGCGAAACAGCTTCCAGACAATCACATTCACAACTCACCTTCCGAAACCCACTTGCCCAGCAAAGTGATAAGCCATCCTCCAAAGCCAACAGCTCAGCACGTAGCGCATCCCCAGTCGATGCTCCACGCGAGAAACCACCTCGCCACCTGCCTGTCCAATCGCGTATAACTCCACCCATCCCCATAGCAGAGATGTCACTCAAGCAACTCCCGTCCGTGTTAAGTTTGGCCCACGGATGCTCCGGAGGACTCCATAGGGGTTGCTCCAGCCACAAACCTCGTTTAGCATTAAACACCTCGTTCTCCACCGTAGACAGTGTCACCTTCCGCCGGACCGCCGAGATCGTCCAAAGCTCACCGTTGAACAACATGTGATTCCTAAACCGCCAGATCCACCACAAGGTGAAGGATAGGGTAATAGCCTCCTTGTGCAAAATGATCCCCTTCAGCCACTGAAAACAATCCCTTTCCAAGAAGGACCACCCCGTACTGACCCCGCCAGCCATCAGCACCTCTCGCGAGTACGGACAATCCCGCAGAGCATGCAAAATGGTTTCATGGGGGCAAGAACATCGCGAACAGGCGCCGGACTCAGAGAGCCTCCTGTCAGCCCGTACCTGGTTCGTTGGAAGGGCTGAATGCAGACACTGCCACAGGAAGAACTTAACCTTCTCTGAATATATCACCTAGTGTTGTTTTCTACATCTTAACAAAGGCTTGAGCCGAATTTGAAATAACATGACAATTCCAAATTCACATAATCTAGAATAATCATTGATGGGCTATAGTTTTTTTAATTAGTTTTGAAGTTATGATTTAATGATTATGCGAATACAAGTAAGAATTATTTAAAATAATCGTTTAATCTCTAATAAGGATTACATATGTAAACAAATAACAAGTGAGACATAAATATTGAAACTATCAATAAGGATTTTATATTGTTGAAGAATTAAAATTAAAGATTTTTTTTTAGTATCAAAATTAAAATTTATTCATTTTAAATATATTAAACATATTTTTGTTATTTATTTTTTGTTAATAATTTTAATAATATAAAAATAAATATTTATACTATAAAATACAAAATTTAAATACTAGTTAGTATCGACGCCATTAATACTTGAAACATTTTTTTCGTAACACTTTTTTCAATTATTTACTAAAATACATTAAAGTATTATCTTTTTAGTAAGTCTTATTTTTAAATTAGAAAAATTTATTAAATGATAAATTCATTTATCAAAATTTATGATTTTAAATTCAGGTCTATATTAATGAAATTAAATAGAATAATAAAAAAGAGTGTTACTATCATGTAAATTAGAGTCTCAAAAACTTTCGTCCATTTTGAAGGAAGTAAGCAAGTTTTAAAATCCAAATCTGAAATCTGGACTCACCGAGTCCCAATATTATTTGGCACCAGCGTTTCAATTATTGGTAATTTCAATTTTACCCCCGAAAAAGGAGTGGTCATCGAACAAAACGAGCACAGCGAAGCCTCCAACGCTTTGGTTTCTTCACCACCACTACCCTTCGCCTCTCTCTTTCTAAAAACCAGAAACAACAAACGCAAACCGAAAAGGCAAAAGGGTTTTCCAAGTGAGATCTAGGGTTTCCTTCGATTCGGAAACAGGAAATTGATCCAACGACCTCAACGAGGAGGTGGAGTAGTGGAGCATGGATTCGGTGCCTTCGAATTCCCATGGAAACCTCGATGAGCAGATTTCTCAGCTCATGCAGTGCAAACCCTTGTCTGAGCAAGAGGTATTGTTCTTTCCACAACCTCTTCATTTTACCGCGTTTTGTTCCTTCCTTTCATTTCTTATGAAATGTGATGCGGAGATCGGAAAAATCTCTTGCAGTTTTTCATCGCTTTTATGCTTTTTGCTGGAAATGCTTCTCGCCCATGGATCCGTAGTTTGTTGTAGCCAAAATTGAATCGCTTTCTCTTTCGCGAAATTTGGATTCTCTTGGAATTGAAACTGCGAGTAGAATGCGTGTTTTGTTTGAATATTCAGTCAGATTTGCGGATTCTAGGTTTTTAGATTATTTTGGATTTGTTTCAAGGATATCATGAGATTTTGGTTAGTTGAAATTTGTCAGTTTTAGACCTAAATCAAATTGTTATGATTAATGTGATTGTTTATGCATTTAAGGTGTGGGTATGTTAGATTGTTAACATTGGCTGAGTATTATTTGAAAATGGAGGATAATATTTATTTCAGAATGCTTGTGTGTCGTTTGCCTAGGATTTTTTTTATTTTTTATTGTTATATGACTTGCTGTGTCGTTTGCCTAGGAATTATTTATTTATTTATATATATCTATTGTTATATGACTTGTTCAAAGCGGGCTAGTTGGTTTGATACCTTACTTTTTTACCTGGTTTTATGGGGAGGGCAATAAGTGCTATGAATGAAACCTCTCTCTTAACTTGAAAAGTTAAGAGTAATAATTTGTGTCTTGAGCTGGTAAAAAATAGAAAATTCTCAGTTTGTTGGTATTGGTTTCATCACAAAAAGTTGGGGTAGGTGGATTTGTTCAAAGTATATAGCTGATCCATGCAGTACTGTTTGAGTTATGACTTTATGCTTAAGGAGAGACTACTTTTCTTTTTCACCCTTGATTGGTATTGGATTTTGAAAAAATTTAGGCAGAGCTTTTGAGAAGTGTTATCTGAGTCAGGGTTACATTGTGTGATGTTTGTGTTATTTGGATACTTTAAGAAAAGAGGGTATTTAATGACAACTTTATTTTGTTTCCTTTGAATACGGTGAGAGACAGTAAAGTTGAAGTGAAATTTTAAAAAACAGTTGGTTCTTTGAATGCATTTTTTTAGTGATTAATGAATAAATTTTTCTTGCTACTTTCTCCTGTTTATCTTGTGAGCATTTTTATTAGTCAAGTTAAACAATTTCCTATTAATTTCACTTTCTTTTGGTTATTTGCATGTGTCATTGTATTTGATGGGTGGGTTCAGGGACTTAGAGGAAAGTACTACCTAGGTGTTTGCAGGCTTAAATACTTCTGGCCGAGTAATTACTAGTGACAATCTACAATGCCATTGTGGTGATGTGGGGCAGAGGATACTCTGACCATTTTAAATGCTTTGTTCTGGCTGAGGTTGCGGCCTTTCACAGAGACAGACAAAATCGCACTTATAGAAGCCACAACTTTGAGCAGGATGAAATCCTTGTTCTTTCCAGGGAGTTACTTTTTTTAGTGATTTAACAGTTTACACTCTTTGCTGAATCAGAGGGATGTTAGAGTTGGAAGCTTGGAAACTCATTATTATCCATTAAAAAATCAGCATCCACTCTGCGTCCAAACCATAGTTGTCAATAGTGTGTGATTGTTGCTACATGTCACAACACTTGGCTGCTATGGAGAAGCATTTTTTTTGTAGTTTGTCATCTTGGTTGTTGCGGATGCTATAACATCTTTAGTATCGGAAAATTGCCTGGGGCCAGCTGTGCAGAGAGAACAATTTTGAAAATCCAAATCTCACCATGGCAAAAAGTGTAGTTTAGTGCTCTCTAGGGGATCAATCGCGCAGTTTCTCATTCCCATTCGTTAAATCAAAGGGTTCTAATAAAAAGCCAATATTTTTTGGTAGAGTAAATTACATTGATACATGCAACACATATCAATCTAGCTTCATTTCATACACTCCACATATCTACCTATGTTTTTCCTTCTCCCAATCAATAAAAGGGAACATCCTTGATTGAAATATGAGTTTGGTTTGCTTTTCACAAATGAAAACTAGAAAGTGAACATAATAAATTAATTTCATAAAAAAAAACCAAGCATAACCAATTAGTAAGTTATGCTCAGTTTATGTCCCAAGTTTAGATTGGTTTGTTTTGATATGATTTATGAATGACATTGTTATAGTTTACATAGCTTAGTTAGCATTGTTAAAATCCATTAATAATTTCAATTTTAAATTTTATTCTATTATTTGCTTGGTTTCTTTAAAGACTTTTATTCTTTTTTTTTTCTGGAAGTAGCCTTGACATTGAAATTGTTGTTGTTCTTTTTGATTTAGTGATCCAACTCTGTTTTGACATTGCACTTTTTTATGCAGGTAAGGGTCTTGTGTGACAAGGCAAAGGAGATTTTGATGGAAGAGAGCAATGTCCAGGTGTGTGTCTAACTTTTTGTGATTTACGTCAAGCGCATTTATGATTTTGTACTTTTTAGTGTAGGTTTTTTTTTAATGAATTTGTTCATATTTCACCGACATTGTCTGTATCATGCCCCTTTTTTTTCTGACTATTTTCTGTTAGGGTGCTCTTATTAACTTCCCCTTATGGTGATTTCTTCTTTGTTTAATAAGTTTTTTTTTTTTTTGGTATGGCTTTAACTCATGATGATTTTAATCAACTGAAAAAAACTAAAGAAATTATTTCATTTGCCAATAATTGCAGCCTGTGAAAAGTCCTGTTACAATTTGTGGTGATATTCATGGGCAATTCCATGATCTTGCAGAGCTTTTTCGCATTGGAGGAAGGGTATTTTTTATGGTAGTTGGTTTTATATTCAACTTGTATTTTTAAAATTTTTGATGGCTTGACTAACTATATTTTAAATGTACGTGTTAAGTAGTACTTGGAAAATTAGGTAGTTCCATGCACCTTTGATGTTCTATTGTGAAATTAGGTTTATCTTATTTCACAGAACCCCCTTTTCAGTTAAAATTTCATTATAGTGTAATCCTTTCAAATTCCAATTGCTAGATGCTGAATTTTAATTTGGAATTTGATAGCATCAATGCATTTAAAATTTCTTTTCAAGTTTCATTCAAATTACAAAATTACTCTTGTTTACATTATCTTATTTTTGATTCTGGATATTTATATAATACACATCGATGTTTCTTTCTTTTCATTTTTTACACATCCAAATAAAAGGGAAGAAAACTTTAATCTTTCTTTCCTCTTGTATTTTCCTGTACCAAACAAGCTAAAAAAAATCCATTTTCTTCTCTTTTCTATCCTTTCTTTTTCTTTTCTTTCACATTATTTTCTAAACCAAACATACCATTAAATTTATGTGAATATTCTTAAGGATTGATGGTTGTACTTGGATTTATATCGGTGATGATTATTTACCTGTATGATTAACCAAACAGTCTGATCTGATTTTTAATTTCGGATGTAGTTATCCTGGAATATTTTTTATTTATTTATGATGCGTTTTTATTTATAGGATTTTTTCTTGATTGAACCATTATTTTCTTCTACTTACTGATTTCTAGTTATCATTTTTTGTTGGTAGTGTCCAGATACAAATTACTTGTTTATGGGAGATTACGTGGACCGTGGCTATTATTCTGTTGAAACTGTTACGGTAAATATCAACTATTATACTGATTTTTTTTGGGTGTTCAACTTCAATCTGAAATACTTTATTTTGTCATTATTTATTTTTCATAAGGTGTTATGGAGTTCAACTTCAATCTGAAATACTTTATTTTGTCATTATTCATTTTTCATAAGGTGTTATGGGATTATTTGATTAGGATGTTCTAGTGAAATATCATAGGTCTTGGGCTAAGTGACCTGGCCTCAATAGTATATATTTTTTAGTGATTTGATATCTGCTTGCTTGGAGGATAGAAAATTACTTTGTTTATCAGCATTTTTTTTACCTGAAAAATTTCTTTTTTCTGGACCATAATTCTAATATATATATATATATTTTTTTGTAGCATACTGCTACAATGAGAATGTTGGGTTACTATTCATGCAGTGTGTTGTATGTGTGGGGGCTTATTGGTTGCCAGCGTGGTATTAGTTAACTATTTGTGGTTGTGCATTATGCTGTCCAAAATAAAAAACCCCCATGATTATGTTTCATGTGTAAATAATGCATTGTCTATAAAACATGTTGGATACCATTGTAATACACTGATAAATAAACATTAACATGCAGAGATGATGTGTATGACACTCAAACTGATGTTGTGTTACAAGTTAATGCCGACTATTCTTTAAATTGCATATTTTAGATGGTGTTTATTTTGCTTTCAGATGGTATTTGTTTTGTAACATTTTTTAAGTTAATTAAGTCATTATGCAGCTTTTGGTTGCCCTTAAAGTGCGCTATCGTCAGCGTATCACTATTCTGAGGGGAAATCACGAAAGTCGCCAGGTTTGTTCCTTCTTAAATCACATGACATTCCTGACTAGTTACTTACAGATTAGATTAAAAACCTATTTTGTCCTAGGAGGCATGGTCAGTATCTGTCGAGTTCTTGATAGATTTTTTCTATCAATATACTACCTGTAAGTTCATATTGCTGCCAATTGGATGCTTTCACACATCTAGATGATGGAAAGAATGTAGTATTTTGGGAACCCAAATATGCTTGTTTTAAAAAATGATATCATTGGTTTTGATGAAGTAGTTAGGGTTAGAACTTTTACTTTTTAAGAGACTGACTATAGCACTGAGTACATTGACTTATATGTTTGTTTAGATGTTTCTGTATGTTTGTAGCTTTGAATGGTAATGGCTGATCATAGTTTTCTGCTGCAGATTACTCAAGTTTATGGGTTTTATGATGAGTGCCTGCGGAAGTAAGTACCTGCTGAATTCATTATTTATAGGATGCTTTTGTTTAAGATAACGTTGATAAGTGATCATTGTTGTCTACATTTAGACATATTTGGTATGTACTCATTCTCTGGTTTCTGGCCTTCTGTTGAGGATTGATGTATGAATTTTTTTTGGTATATTAGAATGAGTTATCTTTTTTATTCCTCAATAGACGACAACAACAATCTTATTCTACTAGGTTATGTCAGTTACATGGTTTGCATGATGCTAATGGTCTCTCAAATAGATGATGGGACTGTTAATTTGATCCTTTTCCTGACACTAACACTATTAGTAGAAAGGAATGCTACATTATTGTTGTAACTAAGGTTTTTCATTGGAAGTTAATTTTAACTCAGATTGTAAAGATTTGATATATGATTTGTGGACCATTCACAAGCAACATGGTATTCCTGAGTTAAGTAGTAACTATTAATTAAATTACCAAGATATCTTGATTTTATTCATTATATTTATAGTGTTAGTAGCTTTTCTTTTTCCCCTTAATTTTTATTTGCATATTCATTGGTTTGATGTGATTTAATAAATATCACAAATTTGATCTTAATTGTTTCCTATGTTTAAGGGCTTTGGATCCTCCTTACTAACATGCTGATTCCATGATGCGAGAATTAAAGTACCGAATAAATAATATTTTAATGGACCCTATACAAATAATGGTTGTCCTGCTATCCTAATATATTTACTTTTGTGTCTTTCTCTTGTATAACATTTAACATTGAGATCCAAATACAGGTAAAAAGTTGTATGCATTATACAAATATAAAGTACACCTAATTAATTTTTTAAATCAAAGTTGATTTAGAATTCATATCATTCTGCTAATTGGGCCTTTTTCTTTTGAGGTGTTCCATTCTCTTTTGTATTTGGTATTTGTTTTTTTGATCCTTCATAATTTTTTGTTTCTTTTTAATAACTTTCATATTTGAAGTTGTGCAATCCTTTGTTGGTTAATATTCTTATTTGATTTGCAGGTATGGTAGTGCTAATGTTTGGAAGATCTTTACTGATTTGTTTGACTACTTTCCATTGACAGCATTGGTTAGTCCGCTATTACATAACTTTGGAAAGCACCATCGGATATTTTGTTAGATTGTCATTTTTCTCAGGTCCAAGGTAGTTTTTGTGATTCAATAATCATGGGCTTCCTTGGCGTTCTAGCTCACATGTAAAAATGGCTTGGTTTGAACCAAACTAATCATAAAGTAGTTCAGTTCTTTGGAAAAACAGAACCATGCATCGGTGTGAAAAAGAAAACCAACCCAAACTACAAAAACCAAACTGTTTTGAGAAAAACCAAACCATGCACAGGCCTAGCACACATTATGAATTTTGTAGGATTTTACGATCCTATGATTTTTTATGATTTTTATTTTAACTTCCTTGCCTGGGTTCATATGCATTTTGTTATTGGTTCTCTGAATTCAGTATGCCTCTTTTTGTGCTGTCTTGTTTACTTGTATCTCTTATATATGAAAAAATATGCTTCTGATGCTTACTCTTATTACTTTCTATGTAAGCTTCATGATATGCTTCTCAATCAATTTCAGTTCACATAATTCAGTGAAATTTCCAGTTTTTCATAATTGAATGTTGCTAAAGTGATATATTAACTTTATAGGTTGAATCTGAAATATTTTGTCTTCATGGGGGGTTGTCACCATCTATTGAAACCCTCGATAACATACGTAATTTTGATCGTGTACAAGAAGTTCCTCATGAGGGACCCATGTGTGATCTTCTATGGTCTGATCCGGATGATCGTTGTGGTTGGGGCATCTCTCCTAGAGGTGCTGGATATACCTTCGGCCAGGTAATCAAGTTAGAAATGAATGTATCAAGCTTGTATTGTTTCCAACTGTCATTAATCCTTTTTTAATTGCTTATGCAAATTGTTTTTGTAGGACATATCTGAGCAATTTAACCATACCAATAACTTGAAGCTGATAGCTAGAGCTCACCAGCTGGTTATGGAAGGATATAACTGGGGTCATGTAAATCCTTGATGTCATTAAGTTTGCTTTTATATTTATTCGTTGTGGTAAATGTTTTTGATTTATAGTCCATTGTTGCAGGATCAAAAGGTGGTTACCATATTTAGTGCACCTAACTATTGTTATCGTTGTGGGAACATGGCATCAATTCTTGAAGTTGATGACTGCAAAGGACACACATTCATTCAGGTTGAGCTTTCTTTTTTATTACCTACTTTTAATTTTAAACATGCTACAATTATTATTTTTGCCGGCTACATCAAGTAATATTTGGATGTGTAATTTTTTTTTTTTAATCTTTTGTACATAAGTTAATTATTTTTTTAATTCCAGTTTGAGCCAGCTCCAAGGAGGGGAGAACCAGATGTAACTAGGAGAACACCTGATTATTTCCTATGATACTATTTTGGTTGGGTTGCTGTTTACAGCACAGCAACTAATGCCCTGCAGTAATGTGCAAGCTCATCTACTTGTCCAAATCAGAGCCATGAATCATATTGATACTTATATTTTCGAAGTTAGGCTTCGCTGGATGTGTTATTTAGTTGAATTATAACTGAATCTTTCCAAGAGGAAGCTGAGGAGCAGGCGATGCTATTGTGGGCATGTGTATCATTCCAGCATGCAATGTATCAATTTTAATGTTTTGTTTCCAATTTTTCCTTTTCTATTTATTTGCAAACTCTCTTGACGTTTCTTTTCTCAATTTAGGATTATTATCAAGGGGGCGGGTTTCTGTAGATGGATAATACTTCAACATATCTTTTAATGGGTGTTTTACTATTTTTTTAGCCGTCTTCTGAGAATTATATTTTAGTAGGTAGTCTTGTTTTATTGTTTTTACATGAAATGACTTAATTTTCCAAATATTTAGAGCGAGAGGGAGGCGTCTATTGGTGATGAGTTTAAGGTGATATTCATGATCGATTGGGATATTCGTACTCCGTTAACCTTCGTGAGAACTAAACGAGATTCTCTAACCATCGTTTGCCTTGATATTTATTTATTTTTATCTAAAACAGGATCATCATCGTTATTATTACTATATTTTGACAGGTATTTCTTACTTATTCAGTAACTGTTTATTTTGCGGTTTCGGGAAATTTTTTATTTGCTGTTCAATTTTATTATGGATATCATAAATATATTAACTTATTTTTGCAAATATATCACACTTATTGGTCAGTAGATGATAATTTGCGTTTTCTGCTATTTTATTTTAACTGATTAATTGGTCCTTGAAGGCTCTTAAATATTTTTTTTTAAATCACATTCTCTATTATTGGGTGATACTGATGAGTGTTATTAATTTGTGGGTTACATGTTCATTTCAGTTGAAAATAAATATTGCGTTTAAATAGGGATGTGCAAGTATGTCACTTGCATTGTTCTTGTGGTATGATACTAGTGATCCAAGGGAAACTTGAAGATAGTGTCAGAGTAGCAACATCAGGCATATCATATGGTCGAGAATTTGAGAAGCGTGTCATACAGTAAATTTTTGGACTTGTGGTGTCACACGAAACTAGTGATAGGATCAAGAGGTCTGAAGTGTGAACATGCAAACATGGAACTGATGATGTGCATTGAAGAAAAATTCCAAACATTTATAGGGCTATTTAAAGGAATGTTCAGTAGATAAGTGATCATGATAAGGTGAAGAGTGATCGATGGTAATTGGTAATTCCTCAAATTTTATCATGTCTATGTCATAAAGACATATGGTATATATAGTCTCAGGTTCTGCAAGGAAGAAGACAAGCCAGAACACAAGGGAAAAACGTTAATTAAAGAGAAATTATATTTGTAATACAAAATTTACAACGAGAGAGAAAAAATTAATAATATTCTGATGAAGATAGACACAAAATAATATATAAATTGTTGTATGTATAGTACATCTCAATTAAAAATCCATCAATACTGAAGTTGATTGCAGTTAATAACAACACTCATCTTGAGAAGAATCTCATTTGTACTAATCAAATTCTGGCTAGTTTGCAATAAATTCTGGCCAGTCTTAATATGTTCAACATATCAAAAGAAAAAGGAATGGTTTTATATCAGATAGAATAGAAGGTCTTGGCATATTCTACATATCCCAAAACTGGATTTTGCTTTATTGATTTGTAGATTTTTTTACACTGTACATGCCTATTAAACCTATTTAACAAAATATTGATACTTCAAAACTGCCACTATCTCTATTTTGATGTGTATCACATCTAATAAAAATACAGGTGACATGTTATAATAATTGGACAAATAATAGTCTTTTTTATTGCGTTCACAACAATTATAAACGACTTATAAAACATTAATGTCTATATTCTAACTCAGAATTAAGAGATTTTAATACCTTCATTACTCCTCTCCATCCCTTCAAACTACCTAACCAGATAAACAATTTTTTAACAAAATCTCATTTCCACCTTCCATTCCTTTCCAGCCAGAGTATGTAAGAAACAAGTGACCAAATGAGAACTATACAACAACAATGGTCACGGTATAGATAATTATAAGTTAAACCTGGTTTAAAAATAAAACCACTTAACATGCGTCAAAATTACAACTTTACATATCACTTGGTAACTTTGGACCTGGTGCTATAGGCTTAAATGCAGCCAACACCACAGAAACTTTACATGCAAGAAATCCCATCATTCCAACTATGAGATCTTTTGGGGTTAGCATCACTTGAAGATCTCCTGAGCCATACCTCGCTGCAAGTACACCAAAGACTATAGCCAATGCCACGCTTGCTATTGGACCCTTCACTCCTCTGAACAATGCATCAGTTCTTTCCTTGTCACTGGAGATTAATTCTGAAGCTGGCAATTCATCCACAGATCTCTGCAACAGTAGCAGATACAAGAAGCCTCCAATCCCACCAATTAAGAAAGCAATCCCACCATTTTCCCCAATTGAGAGGGAAGCAACTGATGAACCAAAAAGTGTCAGCATAGCATCATAAAATAACAATGAGAACTTCAAATCTGCATATTCCCTCATGCTCTCTTCTTTTGAGATCTTAGGACTTGAGAGCAAGGCATGGTCATTAAGTCCTTTGACCAAGATGCTTATAGGATCAGTCCCTTCCAGCTCAGTCACAAGGCTAGGTCTCAATTCCAACATGGACAAATCAGTTCCCTCTCCAAGCAACACATCATCAATGAGAAAGTCATACTGGAAACCTGTGTACCTTAGTACCCCATCTTCTTGCCCTAACGATTGCCCTTCACAACTAATAGCCATTAAGGATACATTTCCTAGGCGCCATTGACCTGACCTTAGAGACAAAAGAAGGGTGTTGTTAGAAAACCTTAGTTTAAACTTGAAGATATGGGATAAGAACTCATATGATTGTACCAACAATTATTTCTTCATTCACAGAGAGCACATATTGATTGTATAATGCTTTTAAAAACTATAATTTGAGCGAAAGATGTCGCAAGAAATATAACGGTACACTGACTTCCTAGCAAAGAATGCAGAAGAGATATTTTCCTGGGTACCTAAAAACAAATTTGTGGATAGGAGTAATAAGAACACATTTTCTAACACGCTTTTTTTAACACAATCTGTCCTATTAGTTAAAATTTATTAGAAATTATAAAATCACAAACAAGACTTGTTAAATAAGAAGTGAGACCCCATAAATTTTTGTGATTTGTAATAAATTTTAACCAATAAAGAGTATATTACCAACATTTCTCTTGTTGTATATAAGTATTGATAAATTGTAGGTATTGAATGATGTAGTCTACAGAACCTTTTAATCACTCCGAAACAAATCAACAACAACATACCTGATTCAACACTAACCCAAAGAGCCTCAAGTCTTGCAGTTTTTGGACCCTCAAAAATGAATTCATCTACAGAACCTGGTTGGAAATGAAGCATGTCCACATTAGTCATATCCCCTGATTCTGTAGAATGATCCATCATCAAACTCGCAGGGATCCTTTGCAATATGGAATTTCCATCTTCATCTATCAAGCATAGGAGAATTCCCGCATTTAAGTTACTAATACCCGAGCCATATAAGTTGCTCGTACCTAACTTGACCCTAAATAAAGATTTGGACCCATCCTCCTTCAGAGATGATGCAATTTTTTCTACTGATGTATCTGTGTATACTTTCACATCAGAGGCTAGCAAAAGATGTGAAGGCCTCGCATAGGTCTGAAAATCTGTGGCAGTAACATTAGAGATTGATGAATAAACTAAAAACATATGCAACATCACAAGTACTTCTTTAGAACATAAGTGACCAAAAAGTTTACTCTAATGGTCTTCATTGAAAGAGAAATACTACACATACAACAAAAATTATACAACAATTTATACAATATTACTTTTGTGTAATTGTGTCTATCTCTCTCCATCACTGAAATAGTCTACCAACTACACAGTTAACAAATGATCTTCATGGAAATGATGTGTCATTGGTTATAACCCTTTTCCTTACACCCTTTTGTCCCAAATTAGGAATAAAAAATAGAGAACCGTTGAATGTGAAGGGAAAATAAATCACTCGGGTCTTCATTTCAAATAAAAGTGTCTGATAAGAGCATAATGAAATCGGGAAACTATCTCTTTGATCAATCCCATAAATTAGAAAGGGAGGTGCTTTTTGGTCCAAAAAATGTGGAAGGCAATCCATGTTGGTAACTACCAGTCATTGGACCCAACAAGTATGAAATTTAACAGAAGTTGGTTAAGCCAAGTTTAATGTGTGTATAAAAAAGAAGGCAAAGTAACACGGATGCTAAAGTGACAAGTAGCTATATATTATAATATTACATAAATCGACTGAAACCAACACACTGTTTGGACAACCAAAATCAACCGATTAGATTCATTGCAATAATCTTGTTCACCGAAATATCTCGCAACTGTCGCAATTGCAGCATTAAACACGTGGAAGATTTCACTAATACTTTACCTACCCCAATAAAGTAAATGACGTGACTATTGAATAATTAAGTGTGATCATTGATTCATTGAAAAGTAAATGCAAATCGGTGTAAAGAGTAAACCGTATCAGTCTTGACAACCAACATATAAATAAATCCTTTCATATGACAATTTTGTATGACAACATTATATAAAGGATTATATTTTTTTCCACCGATATTATACCCGCAGTATTAATCAATAATTAATTTGCCTTCGGAGAATTATATTTGATTCCCCTTACGGCCTACTTTAAAGCAAAAAGTTAAAAGTTATAATCATTAATTAAAAAACTTATATTAGACCGATAGGATACATGCATTTCAATAAACAAGGAAACTATTTAAATCTTAACCGTTCATTTTCTTTAAGTATATCAATGCTTTTTTGCTTTTGCCTATGAAGTGAATCCATCGTTCTAATTTTCTAAAGGAGTAAAATCCTTAAAATTATGTTCCCAATTTCCCACCGTCTGTCAACATGTAACCAAACCAATCTCTCTCTCTCTCTTTTCTCTTTCCAGTTCAAGACTTAACTTTCTCCCCCAAAAAAATTGAAATTCATTTGCATGAAGCTAAAAGTTCAAAGTTTAGATTTTTAACAATTTTCTGCTAAAACTGTTATGTGGGTACCTTGAAAATCTGTGCGAGACAGTTTGGCCCGAACAGCAAAGCGCAAGTATCTGTTTTGGGTTGTTGGAGAGGATGAGACTTGTGTGATTGGTTTCCTTTGGAAATCATGAGAGTAGAAGGTTGAAGGTATCACACTCCTCAAAGGAATTCCCTGCATGTCTCTCGTCTTCAACACACAAATCCAAGTGCAGTGTAGGGAACGTTACGTAACCAAGGACATCTGAATCCACTAAATAATAAAAAAGATTATTACTACAAAACAACAAGCATTTATAAAAAAGATAAAAAGGTACTGAGAGGCTAAGTAAACAGCAAGCGTTTGTAGTCCAACGGTTAGGATAATTGCCTTCCAAGCAATAGACCCGGGTTCGACTCCCGGCAAACGCATTTTTTTTCTCATTTACTTTTGAACTTTTATCTTCTTCAGAAACAAATATATCTACAAAAAGACAATTCATTTTTTCTTTTAAACAACTTTAACTCTATATAAAAATTATATAAATCGTATGATAATAATTAATGAGAAAGAAGACAGACTTTTTCATGAAAGTTTTATCTTTAAAATTGTTAATAATTATTTAAGACATGAAGTATTTTTTTTTCTACTAGTTTGATATAATCTCTTTTTATCATTTACTTTTGAAATTTTATTTTACTTTTTTAAAACAAATATATCTGATACTAGTCTATACCTATTATAATTAAAGGGATAGATATATAACTCTTTTTGGTCTCTGCTATTTAACAGACCATTATATTTCTTGAATATATATAAAAAAATTATAATTTTTTAAATAATTATATGCAATCTTCTAATATTTTGTTTATGTATAACTACTAGAGGCACGAAGTGCCTCAACCCTTCTAAACTTAAGAGATATAATATACTTTTCTATTATCAAGCAAATCTTATATTTTTTCATATTTTTCTCTCTTCGATGTGATGCACAACTATTATAAAAAAGTTGTATATAGTTATTCATAGAATATATATATATATATATATATATATATATATATATATGTGTGAGAATGTTCAAAGATTTTCAAATTGGCATTAGCAAAGGGAGAAGACCAACTCCCATGGTTTAACAGCATAGTTATTAATACTGTGTAGCGGCACGGAGTGGCCAACCCCAAAAGTGAGATAGCGGATGGCGGGATACCACTATTCTAATTTATTTATATATATATATATATATATATATATATATATATAATATTTGAAGGATATAATAATCTAGTAAAAAGTGAAGACCAAAAATAATTACATCTTGGTATCCTCTTTATAACATTTATAGATAATGTTATTAATTGCATTTTTAATTTTATTTTTAACTGGTCCAGAAAAAGGAACAAAATAATTAAATATGTGAACTATTTTAAGTAGTTATTTTTTTTGGGTAAAAATAGTTATTTAGCGTACAAGATATTTGAAACATAAATTTACGAAAAAGTTGAGAAAAAATATAAAAAGCTAAATTAAAATATGGAAGATAAAAAATATTTTAGAAGTTAAGAAATAAAACGATTAACAAAATATATATATCAAAAAGACATATCATTTTTATTAGTTGTGTAAATTTATATGTAATTTTAATACTTTTAGTTATGATTATTTATATTTGATTTTCATGGTTTTCAAGTTATTAAGATTAAATGTTTTGTCATATATATATTTTATCTAACAATTAATAAGGATATAATAAATTCATGTGTGAGCAGCAATTTTAGTATTTATATGTATCTTCAATAAATTCTATTCGGATGATGATAGAAAACATTTTTATATCATGATTATATTATCATTAAATCCTTTTTTTAAACATATATGATATTTAATAGTAGAAACATATAAAATTTGAAAAGTAAAACTTTTACCATAAAGAAGGAATACTTCATTAAAATTTAATACAAAAAAATTAATATTGATCGGCCCTACAGCAAAATTACAAATACTACTTCAAAATTAATTTTTTAGGTGGTGATTGGTCTCACATTGTATAGATGTTTGATACATGCGAGTTGAGGAGGTTGTCTACGTTGTTGTTCTTGATCATCAATGGATACTCATCTTGCAGTAAGAACTATAAAATAGCATGGTAGAAAATTATGGAACTTCAAACGAGTACAAATTTTACAAATAAGCATTAACGACTACAGAGTTGCGACAATTACATCAAACAAATTGTTAATAAAAATATCTTCAGCACCAGAGGAGTACCTACGAACATCAAAATTAATGATGTGGACCATCTTGTTTTGAAGTGTAAGCAAATGAGTATATTAAATGTATTACATAATCCAATATCGTCCAGTTTCGACCACTTGCTATATTAAATGTATTTATATATTTTAATTTACAATAAAATTTAATAATACAGAAACTAATTAATAATTATGTAATTTAAAATTACTTAATAACTAATTTAAAATTACCTAATAGTTACTCGTAATAATTAAGGGTGAATTGTTAAGATAAAGAATAGGGTGCATGTCATCATCTATATTTTGAAAAAAGTTATTATGACTAATCTAAAATATTATAAACTATTTATTTATTACTTAAAAGATAGTTGTAACTTCATGTTATTTCTTAATTATGTATACTTATGATATATGTAATTAAGAATTATATTTTATATTGTTTTATTATTTTTAACTTATGTGGGAAGGGAAGTTGGAGTTGAGATAACTCTAAACTTAAGTTATAGAGGATATAAGTTAAGTGTGTGAAAGTTCGTCTGAGGAGTTTGAGGTATATAAGACGGATTTTGAGAAATGAACTTCATAAATTTATAATTCAAAATTTCAAATAGAAGTTAGAAAGACAAGCTTTTAGAGCCAATGAAGTCCAATCTATGATCCGGTTTTATCGAAAAATCTCTTTTCTTCTCCTAATTGATAGTTGGTATGGTAGAAGCTAAGATTCAAGCTGAGGAGCTGTGAATCTTAGATAAAAATCATTGTACAAGGGTTTTGGGTTTTCAAGTTTTGTTCCCTTCTTCCTTGTTTCTTGGAGCAATCGAGGCAAGGGAAACTTGTTTAATCTTCAAAGTTGTAATTGTAGTTTTTCAGTTGTTGATTTATGCTTTGGTAAGCATTCTAAGTTGAATTTTTGAAGATAGGACTTGGTGTTCTTGGTGAAGAATGAAGAAATTGATGATCTTGTAGTGCTTGTTTGTTGCATGTGGAATTTTCTTCAATTTATGAGTTGTATGATGATAATAGATGAATATATCTGAGTTGCATGCATGAATCTTGTATTTGGAAGAGAGAATTTGGAGTTGTAAGTTGGTGTTTGTGAGTTATTGGACATGTTCTTGATGCATGCATGTTTTCTGGGATTGATTGCTTAGAGCGCCCATAGATGTTGCTCAAAGCAAGTACGTAAGGCTGTTCAAAGTTACTCTCTGACTTGGTTGCTTATAGCAAATTTATGGTACTTAGAGTGAATTTAGTCATGTCAACTTTGTTGTTGAGCGCTTCGAGCGAATTCTAGTTGCTTCAAGCGAGCTATAAGACACTTAAAGTAGCTATTTCTCATTTGAACTTATAATTTTCTCAACTTATCTTATTGAGTTGGTTGTTTACATGATGTATGACAAATATTGAATTTAGTTCATTATATATTGATTTATGATGATGTATAGTGATGATTTAAGTTGTTTAATTTAAAAGTTGCCTATTGTTGGAAATTGATTAAATCAAAAGTTGCACATTGATTTAAGTTGTTAAAGTTGAAGGTTGTTTATAACCTTAAGTTAATAAAGTTGAAAGTTCCTTATTAACGAAGTTGTACAATGATGAGTTGTATGAACATGTGGTAATGAGATACATTTTTACGTTGATATACATAAAAGCAAGAGGAGAGTACAGTTGTTTTAGAAATTAAAATATCTCATTGTGTAAATATAAGTTATGGTGCTCCGGGAGCCTAGAGTTAAAAATCCTCCAGTGAATAAGTTAGCTCTTGAATGAGTAGTTGTTTTTAAGTTGTTTCCTCCAGGTCTTATGTAGAACAATATGGGGGTTAGGTCAAACCATACTGATTATAAAACAACCAAATGTAGATTTGTATGAGGGTTAGATCAAATCATACGTGTATAAAGTGTCAAATGGAGTAAAATATGAAATTGAGGGGTAAAATTCTCAACTTTTTGCTGGAAAGGTGCATAGTATTTAGAGGATAGTCGATGAACTAATTCTATATGAGGTTTAGATATGCATGCTAAGGTCGTGATATACACACTCCCAAATTGTTCTACCATGATAGTAGTACTAGAATTTCCTAATGTAAGTGGCAAAACTAGATCAACCAAAATAAGTTTTTAAATAGGTTACCATGCCTAAAGTTGCCTATAATTAACCTAGAGAAGATAGGTCAGACGTTGTGGTTTTGTTGGGGCAAACCATTTAGACTGCTTACCTCTGTTGTAGGAGATCTCTATAAGTTGGTATGCATGACAAAACATTAGTTGTTTATTTCATGACTAACATTGTTTATGTTGAGAATGTTTATTAGGTTGTAAGTTATATTTGAAGAGTGAAAGTTGTAAATGATGATGATAAGTTGATGTTGTGCTATGATGTTGCTTAAGTTAAGTTGTGCATAAAAGTCCTTGTGTTGAGAAAGTTGTAAGTTGTTCAATTATTTATAGCTAAATATAAATTTTTCTATTTAGTGACCTTGTTGATTTTTAGTTGATGAGTTGTTTAAATGATTTTGAGTTGTTCAATTTATTTCCTTCAATTATTCTCAATTGCTAAGTTACGAGATGATGTTGAAAATGTTATGCTCTTAAGTTGAAAGGCTAATCCATTACTTTAAGTTGTTTTTATTGAAGTTGTTACTTCCTTACTTGATGCATGTTATTTTCTTTCACAAATTTATCCTTATTTTTCATGTTTTTGGACCCTAATGATCATACTTGGTATAAAATTAGGATAATATTAGGTCGTGGATGGTCGTGCTGGAGATGATGTGATTTTTGGATGTGTTATTTTGACACAACATTTGTTTAGATTTGCTTGATCAACGACAAAGTTTTATACTTTTAGTATTTTGTACAATTGATGTATATTGTATATATGTACATGATTTATATGTAATCTCATAAAAGACTTTATGTTTTCCAATCATATAAGAGGGAATTGTTTTTATATGTTCTACACCTTACACACATATCTCTTACATAAATGA